TTCTTAAGAAATGTTTGATGACTATCTGGACATTATAAAGATTTTCCATGTGAAATCTGAAAATGTTCTGGTGCATAAAAGTATTTTTAATCTTAAAATGAACATTACTTTGCATGATAGACAGGCAACATGAAAAAAAAGAGAGAGAGAGAGAAAAACACTACTTTAAAAATCTTAAGACTTAATAAAAAAATTTGATATTTTGCATATGAAAGCCTTGTAATGTTTACTGATAATCTGCCAAATTTCATTAACATTCGCTTACTAATTTAAAAGTTATAGCATGAAAATTATAATAATCACAAAATGGTTGAGGTCAGTCCCAGGGACCAAGCCCGTGCTGAAAGAGTTAATCACATGCAACTGAGCTAAAACTGTATGTTGTGAGTGATCCAGTAAACAGCTGAAAGGAGCATAGTTTACTTTTCAAGGAATTAGCACATAATCTAGTTATAATGGTTTTTTTCAGGGATCTTCAAACTGCTATCTATTACCACAAAATATGTTTTGAATGCATAAGATCATGAATGCCAACAAAGTTAACTGATACATTAACTGCCCACCATAAAGAAATACATATTGATAAACAGTGAAAATAAAATATCCCTACAAACATGAAAAACAAACCATTATCTCATGTTGTTTTAACATATATTTACAATTTTAAGGTAAAATTAAACATTTTTGACAGGAAATACTTGTCACATAATACCCCTCATAAATATGTACTCCTTCCAAAAAGTTGTAGCCTTTCATTTGTAATGCGCCTTATTTCAACATTAGTAAAATACTTTCACAGGGTATTCCTGAACAAGTTTGTAAAAATATCCAATTACAGAATCTTTCACATCATATATAAAATCAAGTAACCATGTTTTGTTTTTTATAGCAGTTTGACTAAAGTTAAAACACAGATTTATTTAAAAACTGATGTTGTGTAAAAACTAATGCATATGATTTTTTGGTATATTATGTTTTTTGGTAACTTACACTGTATTTTTAATTAATTAAAATGCTAATTATATCATATTCTGAGTATCTTTAAAGAGACTTCCTATACAAATCTCATGTGACACTGAAAAAAAACAACAAAAAAACCATTATAACCAACAAAAAAAAGTCAATCTATTTTTACACACAAAATAAAATAGAAAAACTAAAGTTTAGTTATTATAATATTGTCTTATACAGCTATAATTGTGTGGATATAGTCTGTACCTTTCCTCTGTGTGTTCTGATACCCTTCCACAATGGTTTCAGTACACTGTCAAAAGACTCAATACCATATGGAGTTGCAGCTTCAGCCAAAGCAGCCAATGCCAAGGCTGTAATAGTTCTGACTTTTTGTTGTTCATCAACTAGACCTGTTGAAAAATAAAAGAAAAATATGATAATTTAATCAGTTTATTCCTTCTTTGGAACGTGATATTACAGCATATAATAAAAAACATCCACATGCTTCTGAAATATATTGCGATGATAAATATAGAACAAAGTACAAAACTGCTTTAAATAATCTTTTCCACAGTACAACTTTCTTACTTCTTAATTGATCTTTTTGAAAACATTACTCATCTACAATAATATCTCTTTTTTTATTCTACACAAAACAAAATATACTTCGAACTTTGCAAGGTAAAACAATAAATACTATTTGAACATTTATTAATTTGTTTAATAATAAAGTGAACAAAAAAACATTCAACAAAACCATTAATTTAAATTATATTTTCTTTAACAGGCACTTAAATTAAATATGACCTGCTGACTAAGGTAAGACAATAAAATTCCTGGAAGTAAAACTAAGGACAGTGAACCCTCATTAGTCCAGACATCACTGATCCAGATTATGCATAATCCAGATAAATTTTCATATAGACAAATCTTCACAATGGGAAATTTAATCAATAATCCATATATTTGCATTCTAAACCTGAATAACTATTTCTTATAACAAACATACACTTTCTATGGATACATGACTTGGCAATACATACACAACTCGACAAGAGTCAAGCAGGGGTTGATCAGAATGGGAAACAAGATGATAATTAGAGATCACAAAACACACTAACTAGTTGCTACTGGTTTAGGACAATATTTCTGAAAACAACAACTGGGTACCAGTTTATGAGCTTTTCTGAGAATTCCCTTCACAGTACGAATGTACATATAAACTATAACAGATATCAATGTCATCAGAGTGATTTACGCTACAGTCACTCAGTGCTCCAAAAACGATGATGTGTAGAAATATAAACATAATTAAAATGTGTTGTTTGTTTATACAAGAAACCACATCCATGAACATGTTTTGGCACCATCAGTAGATACTTCACCTGAGAAAGAAATGTTTGCATAGGCAAGTCAACTATATCTGATACTCTTTGCAGCAAAGACATTCAAAACATACAAACATGGAGCAAACTTTATCTTTAGATGTGTGATGTAAACTCAAGATGTGCATGGGTTAACAACAGACTACAGCTTGGTGTAACAGAGTTTGGATACTCCAAAGAATGGTTGTAACATTTCAAAAGACATAGCTGGAAGGTGAAACAGTAATTTCTGATCAAAACGAAATTTCCAAAGAATATCTACAAAACGTTCTGGCAGGATATGAATTGGCACACATCTACAATCTAGATGAGACTGATCTACTCAAGAGGTTGGGATTTGGTCATTCTTTTGCATGTAATAGTGACAAATTGCTGCTATTTGTGATTGTGAAATCTAAGTGATCAATATTATTTGGAAATGATTTCAATCCTACTTTTCATGCAAGATTCTGGTGGAGTAAGAAAGTCTGGACAACATCAGCTTTGTTCTCAAAGTGACTGGAGGATTTGAACCAATGGATGCATTCAAAGAGAAAAAAATGTTCTCCTTTTGGACAATGTTACTAATCATGCTACATCAGATGAAGAGCTGCCTAATGTAACACTGTACCACTACCAGCTGATTAGAAAATACATTAAAAAAATGTGTTGAAAATAATGATCCACAAGCTGCAAATGTCTGTGAGGCTTTACAAATTTTAAGTCCAGTGCTACTACAGAAACTATCAAATAACTGCTTTAAGCATGTCAAGATTTTGCCACAGCCTGATTAGAGTGAAACTGTTGAGCCATTAAACGTTCCAAAAGGCATTAATGAGATTGATTATGATTTAAACATGAGTATTAACGATGTTATGTTAGATGATTATTGGCTCAACATCGATCCAACAGAACCAACTGGTTGAGTTGTTTGGATTACGACATTAAAAATGATCCATCAATCACAAGACAGTTAATGTGAATAAAATACAAGCTAGCCTTAAATACATCATCACATGGTTCAAACAAAACAGTGATTTATGTAAAGACAATGACAAAGTGTTATTTGCTTAATGCTGCTGAGAAGTTTCAAACAAAACAAACTTCAGTTGAAAAGCAGACTGTGATTAAATCCTTCTTTGTAAAGTGATTTGCTGTATATTCAACCAATACCACATATTTTGTAAGTATATAACTGGTTTGAAAGAAATGATGTTTTATGTGAAGATAGTGAAAAAAACACCAAAAAATAAACTACAAGTATTTCTTTGAAAGTCACTAAGAAACCTTATAACATGTTGGGTGAACAATAACTGCATCTAAAAACTCATGACATTACCATGATTACAAGAAACAGTTCAGTTATATTGACTGACTAGTGAGAAAAGGGTTTTAATTAAATCACAAATTATCAGCTAGTAAGTACATGAAAGAATACAAAACTTTCATACCAAAGGAGTTAAAATGTGGCATGGAAATAAAAATTCTGATTTGTAGTAAAACTTAAATAAAACATCAACTGTTTGTTACTGAATAACTGAAGTTTAATCTTAAAATACTCACCATGTTCAATAATTTCAACCAAGTTTCTGAGATGAGGAAGAATGGCACATCCCATTAAGATAGCTATTTGTTGTACAATTTTTATACCAGTGTGTCTGGCCTGCCAGGATTTCTTACTACGACACACAGCTTTCAGAAATGGCAAAAGTGATGGAATTCCAAGAGCTGAAGCTACTACAGCAAAAGCTCTAGCTGTAGTGTTACGGACATATTCATCTATGTTATCAATATCAGGTCTCATAGTAGAGATCATAGTGGCCAAACCAGCAGCCTGAAAAAATTAACATTTTCCCCCATTTTCTTATATATTTTATTTATTCTGTTGATATATATAAATTCTAAAGCTTTACCTCTATTTCTTTAAATCAAATGGTTCTTACATGATGAAAAAATTAAAAACCAACACAAGCATCATTTTTGTTTCTAACACAGTTGTAAATTTTGTAGCTATTATTGAAGTTTGCATCAAAACAAGATGAAAAAATAATGATTTTTCTCTGTATAAAATTATGAAAAATAAAAATTTTACAAAAAATTAATAAACTTATGTATGTTTTTTTATGTGATACTTGTTTGGTCAGATTCATAAAACATCTAAATTCCTATATTTACATACACAGTTTCAAATTATTAAAAGAAAAAACAAACACACATACATACAGTAAATCATGAAAATGTTTTTAGAATATTAAACTCAAGCTTGTAAGTTGATGTAAATTTCTATAAAGTTATATTATTCAAGAGTATTTTAAGTGTGTATATATTAATGCATGATTTCATTGAGACTTAGGAAATAATGTGTCTCGTATCGCATTGCACTTAGCAATCCACAATGGTCCTACATGCCAGCATTTCCCAAACTATGTTCTGTCTGATATTGATAAGTGATTCATGAGAAAATCATGATTTTAAATTTTAATAAAATATGTTCCTATGTATTAGAATCAGATAATATTGATTTCACATTGAAGAAGAATTATAGAAGATGCCATATGTATTTTACATAATATCTTAGTGGAGAGGTTTGTACCTAAAATATATTATAAGCATAAAAATGTAAAAATTAATATTTAACTTGATTAAATAAATAAATGAAAAAAAATTTGGGAAACACTGCTACCCTTGTGTAGCACAAACTTTGATTCAGCTTTTTTCTAGCAAACATGACACTTCACATGAAAAATTTAAAACAATAATAAAAATGCTTATGTTTTCTGTTATTAACACTAATTAACTGGCATTTGTTTTCATTAAAGGATGATTGCTAGAAAAATTGTGGGGCTGATGTTCATGCTGATGGTGAACTCGAAACTAAGATTTTTCGAAACCTGTAGATATGCATCAAATAGAAAAATAGAGTAAGCCTAGTGAGGAAAAGCATTTTCAAGCTAAATAACTCGTAGAATTAGTCAGTATGGTTTCTCAGTTTGTTTTTTCTAACAGAAAATACTCTTTTAAATGTTTTCTCAAGATTTAAGGAATTTAGTGCATTATTTGTTTTATAGATTGCATGCACGAGTCAGCGTTATAGCCACATAATGGTGTAGTGTTATGCAAGTATTTTCAACTGTTACACAAAGTTATTTTGTGTTGCAACTGCTGTTATGCAAAATTATCTCTGAAACTGCTTTTTAAATATCTAACGAGAGAGAGAGAGAGAAAACAAACAAACACTTTACATGTGAGAAAACATCAAACAGCAAGCAGAATACAAACTTTACCTTTGCTAAGTTTGAAATTATTTCTCTTCCTTCTACCCTAGCATAGTAGTCTTCATCAATGAGCAAAGGTTCAATGACCACCAAAATCTGTCAACAAAGAGTTTCAAGATAATGAGTGTATTTTTTATATAAGTAGCCTTCACTAATACATACTTTTAATAACAATTACAATCTGTAAGAGTTTAAAGTTTTGGTAAGTTTATCTTTTATATTTAAATTAAAAGTCAACAGCAGAACAAAGAATATTACAATCACAAGATGTGGTTGAAAAAAATTCAAATTTGATAATGTACCTTATGCACATATGGTCTCACTAAATCATCAAGTTTATAGAGGACTCTGTCAATAACTTTCACCAGCAGATGTCGTTCTTGATCCTCAAGGGTGGGGGACATTAGCAACGGTAATATCTGGTTAAATAGTGGGCCTGCACCAAACTCTCTGGCTTTGTCTGTGATCTGTCTCAAAGCAGCTTTCCTCATGGGAGGTGTTCCATTCTTTATCTTCAATAACAACTTCATTATCTTTCTTTCTTTCTGTTCATCAGGGCTCAATGATTCTTCATCTACATCAGCCTACGATTCCATGACAAATAGTACACGTTAAAAGCACAGTACAATGAACTTTTAAAAGAAAGTCACTGAAATAGCTAACACAATTCCATATTGTTTATGGTATTATTGGTGCCATAAAAATAATGAATAAAACATGGAAATATAATTCAAACCTTTAAATATGCTAAAATAAAAATATTAGCAACAATTTAATTTGTACCTGTAATACCTGCTATTAAACACTCATCGTACACAGTGTATCCAGTTTCTTACCTCCTCTCTTATAATTTAGAATTTAAAAACCTGCAAATAGGGATTATAAAAAACAGTAAGGAAACAAGTCTGAAGATACTGTAGACATTATTTACTCAAATTACAAACTCCTATTTTGGCTTCCATGCTGTTACCTAGAATTACATTTGGTGCAGTCAAAATAGGGATTTGTAATTTTAGTAAATAATGTCAGCCTTGTTTCCTTACTTTTTTTTTTGTGATCCCTATTTGCAGGTTTTTAAATTCCCAATTCTTTATTATCTTGCTTGCTGATTTTTTTAATGCTGAACTATGGGCAAAGGATTACTTGATATGGTAGCTAACTTTATACATTGTAATTATAATAAACATAGCTAGTAACTAGCTGATATGATTCATGATTTACTGTAGCTATTGGAACACATTAATTCGAGGTGTAAAATGTAAAGCTGCAGTTTGTCATGGAGATTTGTTTGAGAATACAGTGAGCATTTTTTAGTTTCTGTGTAACTAAATTCTCTCTATATATAATGCACATCAATGGGTAAATATATGCCTAGACTAAGACACAAACCCCCCACTAAGCACATATAACATTTTACCAGTAGAAAAGCAGCATTTTCAAATAAAACCTATGTCTAAAACATCGCTTTAAATGAACCTTTGTGTCTTTTAAAGTAATTATTTTATGAAAGTGTGTAATAAAATTTAATGTGTACTAATTTTATTTTTACTCCTTCACTTCATACATAATACAAGGGTTGACTCCATAAAGACACCAATTGTACAGTGTACAAAACATTGGGTATCTACATGTTAACAGTCATCTAACATTTATTTAATATTGGATGGTAATTCCTGTTTCACCCTGTACTTAAGCTCATTAAAGGCACAACAGATATATGTAAGAAAGGTAACTTCAAAGGCTAATAACATCCTTTACACTAGAATTATGATGTTTTAGCTTATGTTAAATATGGAAGAAACAAATCAATTTTTAAACACCCCTACGATCTTTGCAGTACCTTATTTAGTGTTCTACAAAAGATTTTGGTGCAATATATCAAGCTGTTTTTGTTGTAGGCTGACAAAATAATAATAATAATAATAAGAGGAAGAAGAATTACAAATGGGCCATTCTGAGTTGATTTTCATTTCCTTATAAGCCTAGCATGCATGCTTTTTTTGTGCATTTTTATATGTGTACAGCCTTAGCAGTCAATAATAAAGGTTTTAAAACATGGTTTGAACTGAATCTTTACTGTTTGAGGTGCTTTTTGACCAAACATTCTATTAGGGTTTTGTGCAATTCCTATTATGAACCACTGTCATGGTTCATGATAACACCCCAGCATTTCTATTAACCAGTACATACAGGTCAGAGACTGTTTAAAAAGCTAATTAAATTGCAAAGATGACAACTGCCTGATATGCTGCAAAACCCCAGTGAGGGGCAGCTGTCTTAGCACGTGCATATTAAGTCAGTCTTAATTTCAAAAAGAAATATTTAGAAAATTCCCCATCTTCTTTTTTCTGCATTATATGATGTGTTTTCCCTCCAATTTCTTTACTTCAGAATTTTCGAAAATCAAAAATTGACTGCTGTAGTTTTTATCCACTGAGAAACACATAAAATACATAATTACAAACAAGAATTTAAAATTTTAACCTCATCCTTTCTTGATTTGCTGAAATATCACTTAATATGTCAAATCCACCAGAGAAGCCTCTTGCCCCTCTCCGACTTGTTTTCTAGTCAACTTTACATGGCTGATGGACATATTTATAACCAACAGAAAGAGCAAATTCTCCTCTACATAAGTCTTACAAGTCATTGTTTAGCTTTAGTGTTGTAATCCACTAGTCAGTGGTATTGCATGTTATGTGGTTATGATATTTTGGTGCTTTGAATGCTAAAGGAATTTTAACATATTCATGGCCTACTTAGATAAAATGACTGTTGCTTTGAGACATTCTAGTCTAGTGACTGATGTATTTTTTTTTCAGTTTTAAAATGTATATTTGAAAGCTATGTGAATTGTTTTTGGGCATCAAATTTGTGAGACTCAACAAGGTTTACAGAAGAAAGCCTAAAATTTTTACTCAAGTGTAAAAAGCTTGAACATACAGTTAGTACCAAAAATCATTATTTTTATATATTTTATTTATTGTAATATATTTTTAATAATATAACCAAAACATAAGAATTAGAAACATCTCAGTTTAGCCTAATAAAACTACAGCAAAATAAAACATCAAGCATTGTGAAACATAATACTCAGCAATCATGTAGTATTTTTGTTAGCTCTATGAAAAACAGCTAATGGGGCCCCATAGTGATTTACTATTTTGATGCACAGATTATAGCAATAAAAATATAACATAAAAAGGAAATATTTAATATTCATTCAGAGGTTCTAGAGGTTATGCAAATGAAATCTGAAAATAGTAAAATGAAAAATAGTATTTTTTATTCACATAAAAATCAATTTTCACTCAGACTAACACAGTAAAGGCTTTGAAAATAAACATATCTTTATTAAAAAGAACAATTTTTTGTGTATAATAGATTTGTAATGTTTACTAAATCCTTGCCAAATTTTATGAATACACAAACAGTACATCCAGAATTTTATTAAACATAACCATATATCTATGTATATAATATAGTTTCACAAGATTCAGGGGTTGTTTTGTGTGATGAGTTCTTGAACAGATGATTAAATACAAATGGTGTTGTTACGTTAAATAATTTGTTTTCTTCATAAATATGTGTATGTTTATTGGTTTATTTAGAGTTAAGAGTGAATACATGTCCAGCAATAACTGCTTAATTTTGTGAGGTGGCCAGTAAGAAAATTAATAGCCAACCACTGTGACTGACAATAGTTTTCCTAATGGAAAAGCTGACATACTCTACTTATTTTTATATGCAAAATACTGATGAATAGGAGTATATTATGGTTTAGCTCTGTAAATGCAGAGATGCAGTGATATTATGATTAGTCTACAAGACTATGTGTAAGTGCATGAATATCTCTGGCTTTTAAAAGTGAAAGGAGGTAAATGCTTATCTATCAAGAGCAATAAGAAAACAAGAAGGTAAAAAATATTTTTTAGTGGTTGGTTAAATGGTTAATCACACAGGTACAGTTGCTCACAGCACTATGTACAATATGGAAAACTCTTAATCCTTTACCCTCTAGATCAGGCCTCAATAAATTCCAGGTGCTAGGTCACCATGGCAACTGAAAATTTCATCATGGTACCTAGTATTTTCCCTCATTTTATTTGTGCATAGGGCTATGCTAAAATAACTCGAATCTAGAACTGTTCTGAACTCTTGGAAGTCCAGTACTATTTTCGCATTCTTTGAGTCCTAAATTGAACTTTCTTTCTAGGATTTCAATTGTGAATTCAACACTTCACGTTTTTTCTGGAATGAAGTGCTGCAGTTGCACAACATGTTACTAATTTCAGGCCATTTTGTTTTTCTTCTTTCTCTCAATTCAACCAATCAGTGTGCATATTTAGACTCGGATAGGACCAAAGGCAGTAGTTCAGGCAATACTATCAAGTGGTTGTTGATATCATGTGATCGTTAACATGCACTCTTTTGCTGTTAGAGCAAGTAAATATACACTGCTGCCTCGACTATCCGTGCTGGTCTGGGGAAATAAAAAAATTAAGGATAACAGAAACATGATAATCGAAACACTAGTGTATCTCACTAGTTAGCCCATTGTTTAATCTAAATAAAAAATTTTCAGTATATTTAAATTATAATCTTTTTACTGTGATTTGATCACACTATCATGAAAAATGACATCATAATCATAAAAGTCTAGTGTTGGTCAGTCACACTCAGTTTCTCCTAATTTTGTAAGTTATACGAGTCCAATCCACTTTTTCTACTATAATACTTCCTCTTTTGAATACCTGTTCTTGTTTTAGTTGAATTTAATTACTAATTGAATGAAAAGATAAAAGATCTTGCAAGTTCAAAATCTTGTAATTTAAACAAGTGAGCTGGTAACTCAATATTGTGATAATACACTTTGGCACTAATCTAAATGACAGTAAAGCAATAAATCTAAATGACTAGAAAATTTGAACTGTGAGAATAATTTGAACTATTTGGCTGTGAGAATAAACAAAGAAAAATGGATAATTTAGATTTATTTCATATTTTCTTGTGGGGTAGAGAAAATAAGAGATAAATTAGTGCTATTATAAAAAAAACTTGACATTCATTTAGGAGGTTCTACAGGTTATGCAAATTAAACTTTAAACTGTACAATGAAAAAAATGTTTTTAATTTTAAATGATAATCACCTTTTACTCAGACTAGTCAGCCCACGTCAGATTACGATTCCATAAATTCATGGACAAATCTTTAGTAAAAACATTTAATTAAAAAATATGATTTTTCTACACAAAAGATTACAATGTTTACTAAAACTCTACCAAATTTCACAAAGATAAAAAAAAGTGGATAGTTTCATGGTTACAAGATGAGACAAAATGAGTGAGTTATGACAGAAGGAAAATTTATCAGTACTTTTATCTAAAACATGTAATTTTGAAATTAAAAAAAACTAGTAATTTGTTTCTTGTAAATATTATCATCATCTGCACAATTATATGCACTTCCTCATATTCCATAATTGATTCTGTAAAACAATTAACAATTCTCAACTTTGTTATCTCCAATCACTGTCAATCATAAGAGGTTTGTATATGCTAAGTGTTTAAAATATCTTCAGTAGTGTAAGCCTTCTATATTAGTTATTTCATAGTGCAATCATAGGGATAAAATAAATAAAAAATTTTCATAAACTGTGGTTCAATAATTTAAAGAGAAGAAGCAAAGAATTACTATGTATCCAAATACAAAGTTCTCTGCATTTAGTGTTTTGTCCTGTTCAATGCATTACTTTTAACAAATGGTAATTAAAATTGTTAGAAATTATATAAACAATATGATATCTATATACATATCCTTCATTTTTTAGTCTTACTCAACAATTAAAATTTATAAGTCCTAATAATGTGTTTATATACTAAAATATATATATTTCATGAAAATGTATACATACTAGTAACTTGTCAAAATACTGTATATCCTCTGGTTTCAAGGGAGGCAGATTTCCTTTAGGCTGTGTATCAAGCATCTTGATTGGATCATCCTTCTGAAAAAAGAATCCTCCCCCAGCAGAAGGTGTTCCTCCGAGACCTGCTAAGGGTGTAGGGGTAGAAGTCAGCTTTCTTGCAGGAGTACGAATAGGTACATATCCTGCAGGAGGCTGAAGAACCTTGTAGCCTGGAGGAAACATGGAATCCAGTTCTTCATCTGACAGTGGTCTGTTTCGTTCATCAATTTCTCTTTCCCATCGGTACGCTTGCAGTTGTTCAGGAGTCATAGCCATTAAGTGACCTATCAAATAATAAATATTAAAAAAAAAAAGATTAAGCAATATATTTATGTTCCAGTTTACGTACTGATAGAGTTCTTAGAACAAAAGTAAAACATTCTACAGATAAATGAAAATTTCTGGATTTTTATAGTATTTATACAAACAATATGACAAGGATCTACAAGATAAAAATTTTGTCTATAAATGATAAACAAAAATTAAATATTTTTAATGTGTGTCAAATCCCATATAGGCATACTTGAGCAATTTATCCGAGTCTAAGCATTTTTTAAAATTTGTATTCTCTTTAAACAACTCTTGTTTACAGCATGTTGTTCATCATTATTAAATGTGATAAGTATTAACTCTCTCGCCAATAGGTTGGTTGAATTGACCAACCCCCATTTTGTACTCGTTATAGTTTGGTGGATTTGATTAACAAATATTGCTTACCACCTATTTAACATTCATCATTTTAACACATTATGGCAACTAAGTCCATCATTAAAGATCTTAACTCTTTGCAAAAACATACACTAATGAAAAGAGGTAAATAGTATGTTTTTATTCTAGCAACACTTTTATTCAGCTTCAAACCCTAATATTTAATTGTACCATACATGGCATTTCATGAACCAAATAGTTCTTGGCATATAAATTAAAACTTCAAAAGAGAACCAAAACACCTCAGCTGTCACAAAATAATACAACAATCAGTTAACCAGAGAAATAAGTGACTTGAAAATATTGCAACTGAACAAGGTTGCCACAAATAGTTTTTCAAATTAATCTAGTTTATTTCTTTTTTTTGTATGAGACCTCATCACTCTCTTCAGAATGGGGGTCTCCTTGGCTTTTTGAAGAAAATGTAATTATCCCTCCTGCCATGGGCATCCTTTACTGCGCATGTCACAAGGTTTTAGTGAGTTACATTCAAAATTTGTCTTATGCACCAGATAATTATTACAAGAATGTTTTTTCTTTCAAGACATTATTAAAAATAATCTAATAGGCAGTATCACTTCATATTGATGTAAACGTGTAGTTATGAATGCATACAAAATTATATGAAAATGTTTACTAACAACTTATTTATCCCTGTAATGATACAAGATAGAAGTGCAGAACTATTTGTAAGTGAAAACATTCAGACACATTTTTGTAACTGACAACCTGAAAATTTTGAGCTGGCTGCCATCTATGAGATATTATGTGAACTAAGCCACAATGCATTTTCTATGGGCACTTTTTAGTTCATCTTTCTTACAAAAAATGTATTACTTAGAGATTTATCATTGTAAGAGTAAACAAACGTAACTGAAGTGCATAACTTTTTAGATTTGAGTCTATTTACAACTGGTTTTATTTTATATCTTAAAATTATGACAAAACTGCATGCTTACATAAAAAAAATATATTACATTGTAAAACTAAAATAAAAAAATTAACCACTCAGATATGATAGTGATTATTTCCAAAAGACAGACCACTTTAAACACATAATTTTTATGCAGTAACTGAATTTCATGTTTAGAAAGCAACTTTTTAAAATTTATTTAATAAAAAATTTACATAAGTGACCTAACTTCAAATTGTATTAAATCTGTAATGTCTTGAATTTTCCAAGAAGTTATTTTTAGAAAATTTTATTTAATAATCTAGAAAAATCCATGTGGAACATCCTTTCAATACCCGTATAAAAATGAAGGAAAACCTTAAAGAAGTTGCAGATCAATTAGCTGTTGGACAAATTACCGACTGTATCGAGAGTTAGGAACTGGATATATCAAAATGTTGAGGTCAAGGCTATGATGGAGCCTCAGTTATGAATACAGTTTATTCTGGAGTTCAAGCCAAAAAAGGAGGAAAATGTTAAATTTGTGCATTGTGTTTCACACAACTTAAAATTGGTTCTTAATTGACTCAGTTCATGGCATACCCGAAATTTCTACATTTTACAGAGTCATGGAGAGTATTTATTTTTATTTTGGACATAGCATCAAGAGATGGAAGTTACTTGAATCTTTCATTAGTCTGGAATGAAACTACAGCTTAAAAAGAATCTGTCCAACTAGTTGGGCATCAAGACATGACTTGTTAACTGCAGTAAGATACAAATATGTAGAAATACATAAAGCTCTGCCTAAAATTATTCTCATAAGCAAGTCTAATGAAATTAATGAAGCAAAGTCACTTAAAAAATACTGAAGACATTTGATTTCATTCTTCTTGTGATACAATCAAAAATACTTCACTCACTAAATGCTGTGTATAAAATGTACTAACAATAAGTGCTGATATTTCCAAAGTATACATAATAATTAAAGATGTGTACACACAGCTAAAAGCATTTACAAAAGATTTTGAATCAGCCACAAAATCTGCTACAAAACTGAACTAAAAATGAGGGATTGAGCCAAAATTCCAAAATTAACTTGGTCGTGTGATGAGGGGACTTATTGGGTATGATATGGTGATGGGGTTCAACACTGAAACACAATTCAGAAAAGATGTTTTCTATGGATGTATTGAGATAGTTAATGAAAAACTTCTTAAAGGTTTCAAGGGCTTTAATGAGGTGATGGACATATTTAGTGACTGTTAAATTTTCAACTGCAGTGGAAGTAGCAAACTTGAAAGTGCTGTGATGTCCACCAGTTTCCCAACATTTATACAGTATGAACCCAATGCTTACGGGCACCCTTTCCTGTAGATGTCACAAGGTTTTATTAAGTTAGATTCAAAATTTAATTAAGCATCTTTGCTATCAATGCATGTCAATGAAATTAGCATAATAATTTACATTATAATTCAAAGTTTTATTTTATCTAAGTTTTAATTTCTTTATTTCAAAAGAAACCTTAAAGAAAAATTCTTAAACTTTAGTTCTGTTATCATGCGAGTTCACAAAATCTTAATTTTTTAACTTGAATATTTCTTCACATACACTATACTTCTATATATAGATATAGGTTAATTGCTCTGCTAACACATCCTTTCAAATTCTTTAGTGTCAATTCCCCAGTGCCACAAAAAATAAACTTTTCTAACTCCTGACAGATGCCATGCACACCTTCTAGACTTAAAAGTGGATTTCAAAGCCAATCTCTATTTATCTGACTACATGTTTATAACCAATTGACAGTGCTCATTTTGAACTATGTAATACTGTCAGTCATCCTAAGTTACTGATGCAAAGAACATTGTTATACCATTGAAAAGCCTGAATAGAAATAAAATTATTTAGACCTTCATATTACTTAGTTAGTAAGCCAGATAAATTAAAGTGCTTTTTTATGATAGGAGTCTAGTAATTTATAATTTTTGGGTATTTCAAAATGCATATGTAAAATCTACAAAAATTAATTAGTCTATCCCCTCTATGTGCAAGATACAATGAGGGTTAACAGTATGCAAATGCAAGATCATTTTGCTAAAGTATCTCTGCTGACGATACTGTAATATTACTCAGGGGGCACCATTGACAAGTGTCAAGATGAATAATAAGTGTTCAAGGACAAGAAAATAAAATAAAAAATAAACTAAGTGAAAGGTAAAGATATTAAAAAAAATATTTTAAGATTATTCAAAGCCCACTGATGTGTGTTGAGAACAATAATGAACACTAAGGGACAGAAAGGAAAATAAAACATTAAACATAAACTTCATGTGAAAACTTAAAGGTGCACAATTATGAAGATAATCAAAAGATCTTTTAAGATTATTTGAGGCAAATTAAAATTCTATTTCTTAATTTTAAACATTTTAGTGCATTATATATTGATGATAATAGCTACAGTTAGTAGTATGATAGAGAAAGTGAAGAGAAATAGAGATAGAGAAATAAAATATAAACATTTACTTTAAAAATGTACAATTTAAAAGAAGACTGCATGTTATTCAGTGTTGGTGAGAGTTGTTTGATGTGGAAAGTTTCTTTAATCAGTAATTCCAAATCAGTGTTGGCTTGCAAAGGATATTGGAATTACTGATTAAAGAAAATGTCCACATGAAACAACTTTCACCATGCAGTCTTCTTTTAAATTGCACATTATTTTAAATATGTACAGTATTTTTTTCTTACTCCTTCACTTTCTATGTTTTGGTTAAATTATTGTTATTGCAGCAATCATTTTAATTATTTACTTAGGAATGACATAATTCTTTTTGAGATACTGAAGATGGAATCTATAGAATTCCAAATGTTTATCTGTGTCCCCTTCTGTTATAAATAATGTTGTTTATCTTAAGTATCATTATCATTTTTATTAGTTAATTATGTATTATTTATGTTTTACTGAGGAGTCACTGACTTGTGTCAAGATGAATAATAAATGGTAAAGGACAGGAAAGGAAAATAAAACATTAAAAATTGAGTATATGTGAAGAAAAAAAAAGACCTGAAATTACAAATATCACCATAAGAAGATATTTTAAGATATTCCACAAAAAATTAAATGGCATGTATTTTTTTCCTATTCCTAAATTTTAAATATTTCATTGCACTGTATGTTGATGATAATATCTACAGTTAGTGATATGGTAGAGAAAATGAAATATAAAGTTTTGATATTCATTTAGGCAGTTCTACAGGTAATGCAAATAAAACTTGAAAACTACAAGATGAAAAAAGTATTTTAATACTTAAAATGAAAATTACCTTGCACTCAAACTATTCAGAGGCTACAATAGATAAATATTTTTAGCAGAAAGACTTATTTAAAATAATGCCATTCTTTGTGTACAAGATACTTATAATTTTTAGCAAAATCTTACCAGTTTTTGTGAGGATATATCAAGAAATTTCAGAGTTACCATATGTTTTGTTGCACATGTATCATTCCTCAGTCAGGTTCCTGCAACTTGTAGGGGACCAGTGTGAGAAAGTTAAACCTACTTTTAATAATCCCAGTTATTTAAGAAGTACCATGGGACAAAAAAGACTAAATGGGTTAACCCTTTCCAGATGGGTCATGGGTGAAAGGTCATGTCAACGTGTTTGTTGATCGCATTCAAAATTTTATTGAAACTTCAATTCTTGAATTTATGTCAATAAGTTTGGTATCAAATTGTAGATTATAATTCAAATTTCAGTATTATACCCTACTCAATTATTTAATTTAAAAGTAAATATGGAAAAAAAAACAGAGTTAAACATTGGTTTTTGTGTCACGTGGTATGTTGAATGCAGCACTGGTTGAAAATACTAGGTCTATAGATTCGTACGAATTAGGAACTCAAATTACCGTTACTATAAAGCTAGAATATAAAATAAGAGCCTCTTATCTTTTCAATTTGCTTAGATACTGCTCATATAATAAACCAAACACAGTGGCACCCCACCCATCTTATTCCATTTTTGGAAATGCTCCCTTATATACGCTTACTTCTATATATGACATGAATAATCAATCGTTGGTTCAGAATGTCCCCCTAGTGGCTTTCTCAGCCATTTTAATGTGTTTGGATGACATCTCTTTCTTTTGAACCAAGATTTCAATGAGGTAGGGTGTGTGTCTTTAGTCTGCTCAAAACTGATAAATTATAGTGGAATTCCATGGTATTAATGTAGTAATTTATGATTATTTTGGCAATTCAACTGTATATGTAAAACCTAAAAAAATTATTTCGTTTCATATCCTCCATGTGCAAAATTATAAAAGGCTTAGCAATCTGTCAGATTTCGTTAATATACGCTTACTAATTTAAAAGTTATAGTACAAAAACTATAACAAGCACAAAGTGGTTACGAGGTTGGTCCCAGGGACCGAGCCCATGCTGAAAGAGTTAAGTGTACTTTCAATTAGGAATGAGGTGGCATGCTTTCTCAGCAATGATATGGACCACAAAAATGAAATTTTTGCTGACAGAATAGTGCAGAAACAAAACATATAAACTCAATGCATGGCAGGTACTGGTTTACTACTAACCAATAAATATATCATATCTACTTTTATATTTTCATGGTAATTGTAATTCCTCTAATAGACAGAAAATATTCAGATGGAACACACTAATAATAAGCCATGTGGATACAAGATAATTTTTTTTTGTGAGAAATATATAGACCTAGTATATTTCTATGTTCCCTAACCCACTTTTACTTAGGGAGCCTAAGCTCCACAGGACCCACCATATAGATTCACCAGCAGTGTGGCCTGGTAAATATCCTAGCCCAAGAACCTATGCCACTGATATGCATGTGTGTGTCAACTGGTCACATTGTTACCAAGATTAAGTGTTTATAAACACTTTGTGTGTGTCTATCATACATTAAATTAATAAAATTTTATGAAAGTTAATGAATTTTCATTTTGCTAGACGTTTTTCTAATCTGTCCCACCCTTTCCTTTGAGAGCATATTAATACAACATGGCTATTACATTGTTTATTAGATTGAAGTAATTGATTTTTCTTAAATATTGTTAAGTAACAGTGTGTATAAGATTTTTATACTGTTATACAGTTACAATGGCAGAGGTTTTTGATTATTCAAAATATGTTAAAGCTTAAATCTATGACAGTTAATTCTATATTCATCATAGTTTCCATGTGGTAATAATTTTACCAGATGTCAGTTATTGTTATCATTGTTGCCTAGACACATGTTTTAAAACAGTGTTCCATAGATAAATGAATCTGTACTGCTCAGTAAATTGTTGCCCAATGAAGGCTCTGGTAAGAGAGCTGAAAGCTCAGAAATAAAAGAAAAGTATTTTAGCATACAGAAAGGTTTGTGTGTAATTCTAGCTATTGGACATGTTATTTACTAACCTGCAAATACAAAGTGCAGAAACAGAAGCTGATTCTAAAAAATAAACTTAGTATTCCAAAGACTGTTTAATCTGCAAGTCTAAGTTCAAGGGAGGTCCACACATTGTGGCTTTAAATTTTGCACAGTTGTTTGAATACCTGCAGTCACTAACACTGGGTGTATACGAACTGAAGTAGGCAGTATCATACACACAAAAACTTCTCCTTGAGGATGTAGTGTATGACATCTGGTTTTGAAGTAAACTAGATGGTTATCTTCTTTTTCTTGCAAAAATTCAATCTGCCATACTTCAAATAACACTTACTATCACAGAATTCAGCTTAAAAGCCAGTGTGAAATAGGTCTAGTATTGCCTGTGTCTTGCAAGTTCATAGTGGAGTGTTGTACCGACAGGATTAATTATATGATTCTTGATTCAAGTGGCACAAAGAACACAGGCTCACAAAATCAATTTTCATACCCAAAGGTGTTAAGGATAGTGCAACAATCACTGATGATACTTTTGATGAACGCAAACAACTGACAGTAGGATATGAAATACTATCTTAATGTACAAGGTAAGTAAAATATGACATTTTTGTGGAGGAATCATGGACAATATTAAAATTGGTTTCAGTCATTTGTGTTTTTGTGGTTTTCAACATAAATGGAATAATGTATGGTTACACGATATTATATAAATAAAAAACTCCAAAGGTGAGCAAAAATGCCAGATATGCCCTGAATCTAATAATAAACTTTGTAACATGTAATAAAACTAAATAATTATGAGTATATAAAACAAAAATTACCTGGTGTGGGCGTGGCCATAGCCATGGCTTTTGCACCTGTAGGTGTCACTCCACTTGGAGTCATGGCACTAGGAGTCATACTGCTGGGAGTCAATCCTCCAGGAGTCAGCATAGAAGGTGTCTGAGGAGTCTGATTGCCCATGTTTGAAACTGGAGTTTCATCCCATCGAGACCTTCTTTTGCTAGCACTCGGCGTAGGAGTTTCCTGAATCAAGTCTACTCCAGTACGATCTGTACGTGGAGTTTCTGCCCATCCACTTCCATGGCCAGGGGTTTCTGGGATAGTTGAAACAAATGTATGATTTATGAGTTATTGATATTAGTATTAAAAAGTTGAAAATGTATAATCAAAGATTTTTAATCATTTTGTACAATGAACTGAAAAAAAAAAGAAATATTACATTTCTCCTAACGATGAAGAAATATTCGCTATAATACAGATACTGTTTTTTCTATAATTAAGAGTTTATACTTTTTATATGCTGAAACTGCAAAGTATCTTTAAACTGTAATTTTAATTTGATAAGCTTTTTAAGTTCACATTTCAACCTAGAAGTATGTTCATATAAACATTTTCCTAAATATCTTACGAAAATATGAAAGGTTATGACAATTATATTATCCCCAATTTTACAAAATACCACACCTCTATCTGTTTTGGGTGTTTCATCCCATCGGTTGCGACGAGCACTCGGTGTGGCTTTGTGGCCAGGAGTATCATGACCTGGTGTGGCTGCACCAGGAGTGGCATGAGCTGGTGTAGGTTCCCACATTCGTGTGCTAGCCCCAGGAGTTGCACCTGGTGTTTCCGAGCCTTTAGGAATACGGCCTGGTGTTTCATCCCATCTGCTTTGAGATGGTGTTTGGGACTAAAACAAGTAATAAAAAAAATCAAGCTTTCATAGGAATAACAGAGTTTTGTAATATTTAATATGCAAATTAAACAAATTAACACTCTTGCTATAGGCTCGGTTGAATTTGCTGAATTTGTATATCTTCTTGAACTTTTGCAAGCTTTCAGGGAGCATTAAGAATCTTTTGTAGAAACAACAACAGACTTTTTAATGAGTATTTCACTTAAAATTTCTCTGTGAATACATGGAGTCAAAGTGATTTGCATGCTTTTCTTCATCTGAAAATTGTCAAATTTCATTTGCATAATCTTTAAACCCCACTGAATAAATCTATTATTTTCTCTACCCTAACAGAGTCAATCAACTTGATTAACCTCATAACCAATAGGGGGTGCGTATCTCATCATAGTAGTCAATATGATACACATCTAGATATTGATGCTATAAGTATCTAGATAGACAAGTTTTACCAATGGTTTGTTAGAAAGTTTGATGCTCTTGTCTGTAACTTATTATCTATATTAATAACACTGTCTTATTTAAGTACTTCACACTTTACAGCACTTTTTCAAATTCTCAGGTTTGATCAACAAAAAGGTAATATCTGTCTAATTATTTTGTTATTGTTAATTTATGTTACTTTGCAGGTAATTAAGACATGTAGTACTAAATACTCATCTTCCTTTATTGAATCATTAATTTTTCAGCAAAAATACTGTTATTAGATTTTTTCTGAACAGACACACTGTTTACTGAAAGCTTGCCAAATTTTGTGAAGATACATAAATTGTATCGGACCATTTATCAACACAATTGTATCGCAGCTCCACAATACGATACTCATATTGTTTTACTGTATTGCCACACCTTTAATAACCACCATAGAAAAATAAGAAATTAATCTAAATTACCTTTTTATCTTTCTGTGATTGCAAATTGTAACAGGAAACTACATTTATTTATCCTAAATAGCTTTAAACTCATAACAGTATACATCTATTTATACTTAAATTTTACTGTACTATTGCCCTTTGAACAGTGTCTAACTGGTAATTCTGCCACACAAGTTTAAATCACTTGGTAGAAGAAACAGCTCACATTATCGTATAGAAATACGTAATGCATGGGCTACTCGCAAGCATACGTCATGAAAAACTATTATTATTTTACGTAATCTAACCTAAAAGTTTCTAATTTTTACATTTTAGTTACTTTTATAATAATAAATAAAGAATACACATGAAAAACAGGAAATATAGTGTTTACCTGGGTCTTTTTTTTTGCTGATGACAGCACTTAACCCTACTCTTTTATACTAATGGTACTGCTGTGCTAATAATACAGAATAATAACAGGCAAAAAGCAGACAATGTCCATAACTCTCCAAATTTTTCTGGCATTCTAATTGTGCAACAAGAGCTGATAAAAATTCAGCTAAGCTTGTCAATGTCTTTCCTGTAGGAAAAAAGTTTGAATTGGAAGCGAAATAGACAATTCTCTGTACAGAAAACAATGGTATATAATCACCATTTGATAGATTAAAACTTTGGCTTTCAATAGGTTATAAATAATATATTATTAAATGTTAGAGAGCTACTGCCATTCTTGGAAAGAGGATGTGACAGGTGGGCATTGGCAAAAGTGGTCCAATTTTCTAGTTTATGGCTTTGTAACCAAATAAGTTTGAAGGCTATAAATATTATGCCTTACATGAGTAATAACAATACTACAATGAGTAATGTTAAATTTCTCAGAGGAGTTGTAAATAAATTAGAGAAGAAAGTATACATAGAGAATATTCCAATTCTCATACTAGTGGAAATTCAGAGTTTTTAGTAATATTGATTTTTAAAAATAAAGAACTTAAAACTTATATGATGTTAAACTTTGAATTACAAAGGCCTGTGATAGTTTTATTGTCTTAAAATGTTTACGTTCTACAGTAATTCCTGTATGCTGAATCCAAAAAATGACATTCATTTTTCTCCATCATGTAAAGATTCTTCACAAAATGTCATAATGCAATAATGCAATATATAAGAGAAAGATACATGTAGTTTTAAGACTAAAAGACAGAGTTCACAAAAAAATCAGGATGAATGAAGATGCATATTCGTTTTACATCACTATTCATTCCTTTCTTAAGTTTGTTTGTATTTTTTGTTAACAAACATAATGATAAAAAATGTTCATTGTGGTAAACAAAATAATAATTTGATCTAAGTAAGAGTTTTTTTCTTCACAATTTGTAAGAAAAAAAAAAAGAAAAAAGAAAAAAAAATGAATATTTTCAAAATCTGCTTAACTAAAAATCCGCTAATAAAACCAAAACAATTTTTAAGAAGTATAAATTTGCAGGCCTGAGTTATTAGTTACATTTTGAGTGTAATTCAGTAAAAATCTTGTGACATGTGCAGAAAAATTTAAAGTATTATGGTAAAATTTCATTTTTTAATAGTCATTGATTTCTTAACATACAATATTTTAACTAAATAAAAAAACATATCAGTAAAAAAATAACATTAAAAAATGCAGTTAACACAAAATTTTTCTGCTGGTAGTGGTGTAAGACAAGGCAAGTCATTATTTACATCTAAGTGAAGTATAACTGAGCAATACTTTTAAAACTAATAAATTAAGCAATTAAAAAAGTAAACACAAAAGAGATTTTGTTATTCTTAATCTAAGGCTTTCTATTATTTGGTCAAACTGATTAAACTTGCTCCATTTAGAAGCTTTTTCCTTTAGATTAACGGCAACAATTTCAAATAAACCACAACTAATCTTATGTCTAGGACACCAGATAAAAAAATATAATTTTATAATGTTAAGATAGAAAAGTAATTTTGCATTTTTAGTTTCAGAATTTTTTTTCTATCTAAAAATAATTTTTGTATTTCATTTATATGGACTGGAAATCTGCTCAGGTAAATTGACTTCACTGGATGTTCACTTGAAGATCACAAACTTTTCTACAACGTGGCAATATGGTCATAAAAAGGTTGTATATACCACTAGGCTTGCGAGTTGGGTGAATAAATGGTAGATTTTTTTTTATTATAATAAATAAATCAATGCAAAGTAACACACGTGTTACTATAATTTCAATTACAAGTATAATTTGGTGTTATGGTTGATCAGTCTTAAATATTTTTACTAAAAATATGTTATTTTTCTATTGCAACTACTCGCATTCAAACTATTAACAAATCAAGTGTAAGGTGATTTTTATTTTAAGTATTAAAATACTTTTCTTTGTCTTACAGTTTTCATATTTTATTTGCATAATCTCTAGAACCTCCTAAAAGGATATGAAAGTTTTTTAAGGCAAAGACTTGTATTCAATTTACATTTTCTCTACCATATCACTAACTCAAGGTATTATCATCAATGTACAATGCAAAAAAAATATTAAAATTAGGAAACAGAAAAAAAACTTAATTTTTTGTAGAATATCTTTAAAGATTTTCCTTTTGTTAAATTCATAATTTCAGCTCTATTCCTTTTCAAATATAGTTAACTTTTTAATGTTTTATTTTCCTTTCTTGTCCTTTACCATTTATTAATCATCTCAACACAAGTCAACTGTGTTCTTGAGGCATATTACAGTTTCTTTCGGAGACATGCATAACCCTTCGGCAAAATTTTCATTCAGTGCAAAATATCCCAAGCCTTAAGAATGGAAGCAAAGCATAATGTACATTTAAAATTTTTTAAACCTGTTAATTATGCATTTTAAACCCTAACTAATAGAGAATTACCTAATATATAATAGCAAGACCTAAATAAATTTTAAACTGTATCTCTAACTATAACATATTTAGGTAAGAAATAACCATAAGTGGTATAGTCCATCAAGAAGCCAACCATACTACAGCCAACTTCATATAATCTGACAAATGCATGCAAATTTCAAAATAATTGTTGTTAGTTTATAGTGTAAAATGATCTCTTTCTAATATCTATGCACACGTTATATACACATCTATATGGAGGTTATAAAGTTCAAACAAATCTGCTGAAAGTGGGCATGGCAGCTGTAAGGGATTGAAAAATTTATTACTTGTTCCAAATGTATTCTTTCAAATAACTCTGAATTGAAAGAGTGAAAAAGTTTTCTAAGCATTTCATTGTTTAGATATACCTCTACAGTACTGCCATTGTATTATTGAAGATATAGAGTGCCAAAATAGAGAATTTTCATAGCTCATTGGTCATGTGACAATACATCTGAAGTCAAGTAGATTTTTAAAGCCTTATTTTGAAATAGAGGACTTAAAACTTGGATAAAATAAAACCTTGAATCATAACACATTATAATAATTTCATTCACATACATTGATGTTAAAGATGTTTAATTAAATGACATGCACCGACATGTGTTAAGATGAATAATAGATAGTCAAGGACAGGAAAGGAAAATAAGGCATTATAAGGGAAAAGATGTGTACATACTTCTTAATTTGCACAATATGTTGATGATAATAGCTACAGTTAATGATATGGAAGAGAAAATGAAAATATAAACATTTATCTTAAAAACTTTTGATATTCATTTGCGTGGTTCTAGAGGTTATGCAAATGAAATTTGAAAACTGTAAGATTAAAAAAAATATTTTTATACCTATTATGAAAATCACCTTGCACCTGAACTATTCAGAGGCAAAGTGCAAATAACCACAATAAATAGATATTTTTAGCAGAAAGACTTATTTAAAATAATGTCATTCTTGGTGAGGACACATTAAGAAATTTCAGAGTTACTATATGTATTGCTGTAACTTGCAGGGGACCGACGCGAGGGGGTTAAAGCTATTTTTTACAATCCCAGATATTTGAGAAGTACCATGGGTCAAAAAAGACTAAATGGGTTAAGTGTACTTTCAATCAGGAATGAGGTGGCATGCTTTCTCAGCAATGATATGGACCACAACGATAAAATTTCTGCTGAGAGAATAGTGCAAAAACAAAACATATAAACTCAATGCATGGCAGGTACTGGTTTACTACTTACC